GGCTTTTTTCGAAAACTTTGTAGATCTACCTGTAGCATAAATTTGTGATATGGCGGCCCCGGGAGTATCCACCAGAAAATCTGGAACATCCGTAAAAGTAGTCAATTAATAAAACTAGGTTCAGGATTTCCAAGAAGCTTCTGTTAGCGGCATTATAAGTTAGATGATCAAGGCATTCCAAATGCTGATGGTGCACAAATAATAAGGAATTCCCTCACTACGCGGCGCTAGTGTACATGTGAGCTTTCTGTATCTATAATCAATATTGAAATCCTCATCATGTGAAGTGTTACGTAGTGAGAGAATTCAGAACTAACTAACCCACAACGCCCCGTAACGTGGGTAGATCATCTTTTCGTGGTACGATACGGGATGTAAGATCTATCACCGATTCCTAGTCCTGACTACTTCAAACTAGGGGAACAGGATTTTTCAGTGATCAAAGGAACACATCTTAGTCCTTGTTACTTTTATGCCTTGTTGATAGTGACAAGACTCAACTTTGTCTACCGAGGATGATCTTGAAACAAGGAAAAAAAATGAGTTAGCTGTCTTCATCTATGTTATTCCTAATCTTCTATTCGTTGTTCCCTAGTTTGAAGTGGTTAAGACTAGGTTTCTGATGCATGGTCATTATCGGTGTCATACCTTAATTTTGTTGCTAAGGAATCCAATTCTGACTGACCTTTGGAGGGTGTTTCAACACTCCGAAGGGTATAAATAGCGGGACCTTTCAATTAGAGTCGGATCCTTGCGATAAATGCAAGAGTGGCAACTGTAAAAAAATCGGATACTTCATCATTTCTCAATAGTGATGGAGTAATACGACATGCACTAAACTAAACTAAACTTTATTATAGAGATTTTTAGCCATAGGCTAGTTCATCTCTTACCTGGGACGAACTAATATATATTAAATATAAGTCAAAGTCAAAAACAACTTGAAACACGTTAAATTTTAGATTACATTCACAAGTGCAGGTACTTAATAAAGCATGGTTGGTAGATTAGAAGTTTCAATTATTTATTAAATTATACTAGAGATATCATAATCATCAAACGAACTTAAATAAGAAAATTTAGACAGACTAGTAGCATTAAGTGGATTAACAGAAGAGTTAGGATGCGGAGGGTTCGCTTAGGGAGGCAACTAGCCTTTAAAGCAACTGGCAACTAGCCTTTTCATGTATGGTCTGTTTATTTTGATTATTGCTTTAAAATATCAATTTGATATATATGTGAAAGGATGAATCAGTGGGAGATGGATTTTCGATTTCTTTACATTTAGCATCACTATGTGTCATTTCCTCAAAAACCCCCCAATAACCGGCCTCTTCAATCCCTTCCTTTTCCCATGGCGTTCAAGTGGTCCGCATAGACTATTCAGCCACTACCCGTCCTTTATCCTCGGCTTTGAATTGACTTGCGCTCCCATTGCCCCACCAAACGCTGCAAAATGAAAATAAAAATGAAATGTATGCCTCTTTATCAAACTCAATGGTACTTATGGAAAGGGGAATAAATTTAGAAGTCATCTTTAACTGAAACATTTAATTTATTGTTAAAACCCGTTCGTGGAGAGGTAAAGCGTGGGTTGTGATTAGTACGACGGAAATTAGATCAGAAACTCTGGTTAAAAATAAAATAAAATTGAAGGATAATTTAAAATAAATTCTTAAGAAAAGTTTTAAGAAAATTCAAAACAGAAATTCAAGCTATTTATGTGTAGAATTCCGAAGGATTTCACGGCGTCCACAAACCAATTAGTCACACATGTTTAGTAGGTCGCAAAGTTGACAGAATATTTAATTAAAACATGGAATTTCCGGAACCGCCCGGTATTCGGTGAACTACGGTATTCAAATATCTTACGCATATATGGTTAGTAATGTTTGTGTCGTACAATAGTAAAAAAGAAAGTTCGGATAAAATCTTATGACTTACATTTGATGTACATGCCATTTGTTTACGTGTGCTTATATAAAAAAAATGCTCGAACGATTAAAGCCGGAGAGTTTCGTCCCATCAATATGTTGTACAGAAAGAGAAAATAGTAAAAGAATTTCAAGTTTTTTTCATACGCAGTAAACAAGCACTTCCTCGTCAAATGATGCATCGATCTGAGGCGATCATCTCCGATTTGCATTAAAATTTGCATAATTGTTGATGATCAATCATTCACATTTGAGCTAAATTTCGATTATTTTAAATCTCGCAAAAAAGACTTCAAAATTACGTATTCGCAATTTTTCAAAAATTTATAATTTGAAAACGTCTCTTCTAATCAAAATGACGTGAGAAAAAGTTGTAGGAAAAAATATACACGGTAAAAATTGTAAAGTAATTTTGGTAAAGAAATTAAAAAAAAATTAAATAACATCAATGGATCATCATATTTTTCCATATATTTCAAGTACACTTAAAACAACGACAAACCATCTGTGGGGTGACCCCAAATTTTTAACCGATGAATAACTATTTTATTGATTTTAAACGTATTCTAAAATTTTCATCCAAACTTTTTTTCAACAAAACCGTTGATCTTGTTTTCCGTGCTGAGCACCAATGCTACCGACGCTAGGGAGGCAGCTCGCAGACCTGGACCCTTCCTATCGACCCATCAACTCATGAGCCGGGGACCAACGGCTTTACTTCCCTTCCGAAGGAAGGCGTGATCAGAGATGTTATGCCTCAGAACATCCCGGCGGCGCCGACTGGGATTGAACCCAGGCCTGCTGGGGTGAGAGGTAATCACGCTTACCACTGAACCACCAGCGCCGCTATTTGCTATAGTATAGTTTGTGTTGTAAAACACATTCTAGTTTGATAACAAGTGAAACGTCAAAATAAGCAACAAAAACAAACATTGCGCATGACGGCAGCCTGCAGTTTTTAATTTTGGTTAACGGAATTTAATGCTTTAGAGCTATCATATAATTTATCATGTAAAAGTAACGGTACTATAAGGAAAACGCATGGCTGTTCGATGTACTTATAGTGAAAAATATACAGTTTTCATTACATGATGAGCTATTACAGAAGCTGTTACAGTTTGACATGTATGTAAGACGGCCACCTTTGGTTGGTGGAAACTGAATGCGTAAATATCAATATTTCGTTTCTGAAATATATCAGGCTTTTTTTGAAAAATTTGTAGATCTGCCTGTAGTATGAATTACCGGGAGGATCCACCAGAAAATCTGGAACATCCGTAAAAGTAGTCAATTAATAAAACTAGGTTCAGGATTTCTAAGAAGCTTCTGTTACCGGCATTATAAGTAAGATGATCAAGGCATTCCAAATGCTGATGGTGCACAAGTTAATTAAGAATTCCCTCACTACGCGGCGCTAGTGTAAATGTGAGCTTTCTGTATCTATAAGCAATATTGAAATCCTCATCATGTGAAGTGTTACGTAGTGAGATAATTCAGAACTAACTAACCCACAACGCCCCGTAACGTGGGTGGATCATCTTTTTCGTGGTACGTTACGGGATGTAAAATCTAACACCGATTCCTAGTCCTGACTACTTCAAACTAGGGGAACTGGATTTTTCAGTAATCCAAGGAACATATCTTGTTACTTTTTATGCCTTGTTGATAGTGACAAGACTCGGCTTTGTCTACCGAGGATGATCTTGAAACAAGGAAAAAAATGAGTTAGCTGTCTTCATCTTTGTTATTCCTAATCTTCTATTCGTTGTTTCCTAGTTTGAAGTGGTTAAGACTAGGGTTCTGATGCATGGTCAACACTCCGAAGGGTATAAATAGCTGGACCTTTCAATTAGAGTCGGATCCTTGCGATAAATGCAAGAGTGGCAACTGTAAAAAAAAAATCGAATACTTCATCATTCCTCAATAGTGATGGAGTAATACGACATGCACTAAACTAAGGACACGGGATATACTACAATAGATCAATTTACTGGTCGCAGTAGTGTTAGGTCCCGAACAGAGGAAAAAACCCACAAAGTTGAATACTTTGATCACCTGAACAACTTTCCCGCAGACGGAAACATTCTAAACAGTAAAGATCTCAAGATATATTGTATACAGAAAATGGACTTGCACGTTAGCGCCGCATAGTGAGAAATTGTTGTACTAATTTTCTCTATCCGCCTTGACCTACTGTACAATTTTGCCGAAGAAGTAACCTTTTATATGGTCATGATCATGGTATATTCCATATGGCCGTCTTACCCCTAGGGAAGGCCAACCGTACCCCGCATGATTTTTTTTTTCTTTCATTATTTAGTCTGTGTTTGATTCGTAATAAAACATCATCAAATGAATAGCAAATTTTCTGAAAATCAATGTAATTAGGGAAAGTACTCTAGAGATCAATAATCACTAAATTTATCGCGGAAATTTTATACAGTTTTGGTTAAATTTTACTTCAAGTTTAGTTTCATTTGGTCGACCTAATTGTGAGAAAATCAGTTATGAAAATTCAGTGTGGATTTTTGAAGATGTAGTAACTTCCAGAGACGTTTAAGTTCTCAAAAAAATAATGAAATGTATAAAACCAGTTACCTACGAAACCAATTGCAGCCAATATCTTTCAAATTACCTATATATATCGATAATTGGTCGTAAAATTGCAGAAATATGAATAAAACAATTTACATGTTTTTTTAACAGTGACCCAAACTTATGACCGGGAGTGTATACATAAATCATGGCTGAAACAAAAGACTTAAGATAAATGACGTTTTTCAATTAATACAATTGAATAAAATTAACACATAAAACCTGAAATACAAACAAGAATTAAATAAGAATAATTTAAACATGTTTACAAGATATGCAGTATGATTCGATATCCCATCAGAGAGCGCAAGAAATCTCCTAATCTAACCATCCTATGTCATTACCGTACCAACATATAGCCGTCAGCCGCGCCACGACGATTCGTACATTACCGACACGCAGTCATTATGTCATCCCCATTCACAGAAACCTCACCCACATTCCCCTTCCACCCAGTTGGGGGAAACTCACCAATGACGGTACTGGCGGCCACCTCCTTGGCCACGTGGGCCGCCGCCGGACTGACGTGCAAAATGTCCGACAGCGACAACGACGATGCAATCAGCTGTCGCTTTTCCTCAAAGTTGAGCAAATCCATCGAATTGCTCCGCTGCGGCGTCACCGTGATTGTCACCGATTTCTGCATCGTGAGTACACTCTGATGGTTGTACTCCGGCGGTGGCTGTTTCATCAGATCTCTTCCATTGAAGGACATCTTATGTTCTTCTTTTTCTTCTGCTTTTTTTTTGCTTTCCTATGTCTAAACTTCCTTTCTTTCTTCCGGAGGGATGGCTCACTCGAATATACTACTATAATACATGTGGGTAGGTATAACTATTATTGGAAAATGGTAATAACTGCTGCTGCGATTACGACGACGGAAGAGCACAACGACGACGACGACGACGACGACAACGCAATTAGGTGACTGGTAGGCGGTGTGCGGGGAAGCTTTTCCGGCCGCTGCTGCTATTGCAGTTGCTTGTCTACTCTATTCAGCTAGACATTTATCAACCGGCCAACGGATAAGCACACATCACTGCACCTTAATTGCATTTATGTAAATTTATTTCACTTTTTTCTGCCTCCTCTCTTTCTTCACTTCCACTTTTATTTGCTATTTTTGTACGCCTCTCAGCTGCTGCCGTCTACCGTTGCGGGTTTTTTATTTCTTATTTCTCGCTTAACACTGGTAGGTACTCCACAAACACTCTCGGGGCGCAATAAACTGCTAATGCATATCGATGGAAAATTCAATGGCCAAGTTTGATGCTTTTTGCCTCTATACAGCTACCTATGGTATAAAACATCCAAAAGAAGAAAAAAGTCGTCGTAGAAAAAAAATTCACAATTTTTTTTTATGCGTTGCTAAATTGCTTTCCACGGAAGCTCACACACGCAGATTTGGCACTAGAACAACTTTGAATTTTGCAGAAAAACCGGATTCACTCGCACAGCAAAATCGATTTGAACTTCACTTTTCCCCGTTTTCTCATCCTTTTGACTCCTGCGGGGGGAGAGCTATGGGGAAAAACTTTTCCCGAAACTAATTAGCGTCGATCGGATCATTCAATATAGGCTTATCTCATCACCACCATCTCCTCAAGCACACACTCGCTCGTTCGCACGAGTAGGCAGAGCCTGGCGGCCAAGCACCGACACTTTTTCCGGCGTTTCCTTTTTCGTACACGGATTAAACTCCGTGGATTGGATTTCGGTGCGTTTGTGTAGTTGTTGTTGTTGTTGTTGTTGTTGTCGTTTAGAGCGGTTCACTTCAGATTCGGCGTCGATTAGCTGCCACCGTCGTTGGTTTGCGGTCTCTGTGAAGGAGGAAGAAGAAAGAAAAGAAAAATACGTAAGTTTGGTAATTAATAGGCGAGAAATGGAATCACGTTCGCGAGCTAATGTGTGTGTGCGGTAAGAAGATATTATTTTTGCAAGCTTGTTTCGGGGGAGTGTTCAAATTAAGTATAGCTATTTTTCAAAGTGAAACGTTTGCTTAAAGAGCAGAGCAGAAAATATTGGGATTTGGGCTTTATTTGCGATTTTCAACGATAACGATTGTTCAAATGTTTGAAAAGAATGTTAATTAGTAGAATAAACTGTATGGTTGAAACACCCAGTAATTTGATATTTTATTAAACGTAGCTTATTTTCTTAGCTTAGCTTAGCTTAGCTTAGTCTGACTGCACGTATCGATAGTTGCACTCCGTGATTGATCTGAACCAGTGAAATTGTACAAAGAATCAACTGAATGGGGCTTGGTAGTAACCTGCCATTCTCAGTGTACATGTTCCAGTGACTCCTACCTTTAAAGATCAATAACGTCACCGGCCACGTCCTTGCAATCAGGTGGGAGAGGGAAGGAATGTTAGTGTGTGACTTTTGTTGTTTTGGGACCGTGTTTACCTCTGCATCCCACAAAAGTCACAGGAAGGAGGTTTTGTTAGTGGGTTAGGTTCGTTGGATCAGGATTCACCTTGATAAGTGATGCGATCTTTTGTTTTGTGTAGTTATTTATAAGTGTTTTCAATTTATGCTCTAAACAGCCGGCTGTCTAGAGATGTAGATCATTATTAGATGTGTGTATACCGATTTAAACCAACAATAAGGATACTGTTGGGGCCCCTCACAAAGTGTGATGATGGTTTATTTTATTTAATCAATGACCAAAATAATTAATTATAAGCGGTTTGAACCGATTTAAACCAACAGCAAGGATGCTGTTGGGGCCACTCACAAAGTGTGATGGTGGTTTACTTGATTGAATATAAAATAATTATTAGAACCGATTTGACCCGATTTAGACCAACGGCAAGGATACTGTTGGGGCCACTCACAAAGTGTGATGGTGGTTTATTTAGTTCGGAAGAAAATGAATATGTATACTTCTTTTTTTTTTATATAATAGAACGAATTTGTACTGATTCAAACCAAAAGCAAGGGTTCTATTGGGGCAACTCACAAAGTGCGATGGTGGTTTATACTATAAGGGCATAAAACAAAATCAAGAGCCATTTCGGTTTCCATAGCTTCCTAGACACTCGGCCGCAAAATAATCTTATCCGACGGAAACGTCTCGATCATCGCTGCACAATGGTTTATTATAGCATTTATAAAGTAAATTTGAATACCTTATTGTTTATTTATTATCCATTTTGACTTGACTTGGTACCGTTCAGTTTTATGATGACAAAGTTGCCTGGAGAAAAGTGACAGTTCAAAATGTTTCGGAAGGGAGTCAGCTAGTGTCGTCCAAGTTCAAGTGCGGAAAAAATGCCATTTAAAGTGGTACAAACAATTGAAAGATGCGAAACATGCCTAACCGTAATTCTTTCTGGTTGGAAAGAAGCTGGAATCCTACACTGGCCGGAAAAAAAAACGCGGTAGCGAAACTCTCTCAAGACGAGTTCTCCATGCCAAACCCAATGTGGGAACGTATCAATTGAGTGAAAAAAAGAGAGTTCAAGACTCGCTTGGAGGCTGAAGCAGAATTGGAACAGATGTAGCCAGTTTCGGATACGGAGGCGAACGAAGGGAATAATCCACCACCGTCAAAGAAAGTTTGCCCCGAAGTCTACAAGTCCCCCAGTCGGAAGGGAAACACAATAAGAGACTTTAACGAAGTTTTCCTTATTCCTGGGCAGGAGGTTGACACCTGTGAAGCTGACTGTAAAATCCAGAATCAGATGAGATTATAATATATGCGACACAAATTCACTTTTTTTATAGGGGAACATGTGATGTGAATAGAACCCACCATCAGTGCAAGGATTACATATGACTGCAGATACTTCACTGGTTGTAAAGTTCTGCCTGATGGTTTGTTGCAGCTGGGTGAATCAACTTCATTGAAGACCTTTGGAAGACAAACGACAAGATGTACGTCTATCAACACGTGACAAGGGACTGGCAAATCCACGAACACTTGTCCAGTCTACAAATCCATTGAAACCCTTAGGCTGCCCCCCCAAACCCAACATATAATAATGTTTGATTGATGAAACGTATTCAAAAATTGATATTTTATTAAACGTAGCTTATTTTCTGCTTATTAAGCATTTAGGTTATTAGACTAAGCAGCTGAATTCCATCAATGAGCTCTCCCTTTTAATGTGTATTAAGGTAGAGGCAACACGCCAGGTAACTTTGTCGCATGCTACAAAGCATTTACACCAACCGCAATTTGTATTTCTGTTTGTGGTTTTCCATAAACTATTTTGAATGTAATCTCTATGCAAACAATTGCTGCGGTACATTGGAGATTTTTCTAGACATGAAACGGTTAAAAGTCAAGATCCCAAAATAGAAGAAATAAAAATTTTTGTAGTACCGAAAAAGATAAGTATAACGGACACAACATTAAAACAAAAAATGCAGAGCTCACGTTAATTTATAAGATAAGAACTTCACCATTAACAGCCAAGACTTGGAACCCGACATAGACACTTTTTAAGAATCTGATAACATAACATATATGGAACATCGAACTAGATGCCGTTCAAAAAGTGAAGTCGCTCACTCTGCTATAACTTGTATAACTGCACATCGAAATGCCAAATTTTCAATTAAACAACTAAACTGTAATTGATTTGATTCAACTGGGTCCGAAAGCTGCTGTCAGCCAAGCAAATTCTTAATTATTTTCCTATAGCCTATAGCAGATACTCACGGGCGAACAGAAAAATTAATTTCGAGATCGAGTCCCGTAAATATAATATAATATCGATGGTTCATATTTTATCGGAAAACAGGATTTGTTAATCAGTATTGTAGGAATGCTCCATATAGGCTAGTTCCGTCATTAGTGTATGAAGGCTTCGAAATGTAGGGTTACGGGATGTAATGTCAGCCTAGCCCCTCACTTCGGCCGATCAAGCAAATAACTCATTAATTCAGCAATAATACACAATAGTAATGAAAAACTAATACCACATCTGCTGTAAAGTAGTTGTCCGTAAATTAATTGCCTATGTTTGGGACACATTTTGAACATTTATTGCTCTTTTTTCAAAGAAAAAGTTCAGTAAAATTGTCTCAATTTTCGATTTCTAGGCGCTGTATTATTGAACTAACAAAAATCTACACTTCGGTAGTCATCAAAAAACCTGGTAACTTCATGAATTGAAAGGACTTACCTTTTTGGAACATGATAGCCTAATAAATCATACATTTTTACTCTTACTGTAAATTTAGAAGATATAATAAAAGCGTTATACAGAGTATCGCAAAATTGAGCGTACATCCTAGTGGAACATTTGTTGAAACATTCTGAATAGATATATTTTTTAAATCGTGGCTGGTGGTTGAATAGATGTTCATTGGTTTATCGTTTTAGTTTTGGACTTAATTGGAATAACCTGTATGAAGTTAGATTTATTTTAGTAAAACGCACGTTTTTCACGAATTTTAGTAAAATTAGTGGAATATGAAAACGCACGTTTTTCACGAATTTTAGTAAAATTAGTGGAATATGAATGATCTTATTATGACTGCAAAATTTCAAAATTCAAATCTTTAAAATGAGCAAAATTTCAAAAAGTTTAATTTATTATATTTCAAGATACATATTAAGGTTTTTCAAGGAATAGGCGTTTTTCTCAAATAGCTCTTACTTTTAATAAACGCAGCCAAATAAGCCCAACACTGTACCAATAATTGATAAATTTATTATCTCTTTTAAAGCTGTTTTTTTTTCTAAAATTTAAAGACATCTGTACGCTCAATTTTGAAATACACTGTAACAAAGAACCGAACAGTAGGTACGTAATATTGATGCTTGTTCCTAATTATGGCCTACGAATTTTATTAAATAACATTGTTTTGGTTTGGTGAAACCATTCGCATTGTCGATGACTTTGCAACTGTTCACTCCTATAGGAAAACCCCATCATAAAATGCAGGGCTGTTACAAGATTTTCTAAATTTGATCCGCGAAATCCGCGATTTCTCAAAAGAAATCCGCAACTTCAAATACTAATCCGCGACAAAAAAAAAACTGTTTTCATTACCTAAAAATAGCATTTGTACACTACTACATGGCATTTCAAGCTTATTGCTTATAGCATATTAGATTTTTGCTTTAGTGTTTTTTGAAGTACTTTCACATTTAATTGAGAGCTTTTTATGCCTGTACCATCCTTTGCCCAAGGAAGTAGAGAATTTTTCCAACCCGAAAAATCAGTATCGTTTGTAACCTTTGAATTTAAAAAAAAAAATATTGTATCATCTTCAGTTATTTATGTATGGTATAAATTCTGAGTAATTAGTGAACATAATAAAACACCCTTAAGTTATGAGATTCTATTTAATAATACCGGCCCAGATTTGATGAAATATTATTTAAAAAAAATTAATGCATTTTCATTTTAAATGCAATTTTTTTTGAAAATTAACCAGAGACGTATTTTGCTGTCCTAAATGTTGTAGTTAATTTGGCTGTAGTTCTCTCAATTTTTGACCGATTCAAACCAAACATCCTGCACATAATCAAGAAATTACCAGAGTTTCAAAAGTTACAATTGTTGGTCCCGTCGCGGTTCTGTATTTACACGAATGTATTCCTTGGGGTCTGTCCAATGGTGAGACATTTTCAGACATTTTTTTTTCTAATATGAACCTACCTCTTTTCGCTGTCAAATCATAACCGAATCGTGTATATCTGACTGTGTGGATCATGCGCGACTTATTACTATGTATACCGGAAATTATAGGTTTTCCAAATCGTTCAGGACATCAGTTGATTTGTTCTAATAGATCAACCAAGACTGCAATAATGTCTTTAGTATCGAAATATTTCCAGACAATGCACAGTGTCTAT